GAGGCAGTGGGGGGGGGGGGACGATTCTGAATCCGTTCTTGCAATTTGAAGCTTGTCTCAGCTCGGCCACTCTCGATGGTTAATGGCGCCTTCACATTTTCCTCTAAGAAACTCAAGAAGTCCTCCAAGACTTTCTTCTCCTGTTTCGGAACCAATATTGCCCATATATTGGTCAAACTTAGAATCTTCCCTAGGACCTGTTTGGCAGAAATCCATACGGCATTGTTAAAGATAATGGAATTCCTAAGTTTCCATATACACCGCATGGTACTCCACATGCCTCATTAAGAGAAGATCTTTTTTTTTGTTTGCCTGAATTACACTTTCATGGTACCAAAAGCGTAATTTACTACGAACACGTAACCGGCCTCTCGCGGCTAGCCAGTCACCCGCTCCGCCCTACGGCCGCAGCAAGATCTCCTCTGCCGCGAGAGCTTCTTCCTTCTCCCCTCTCGTCCGCTAAATCCTCCAAAACCTCACCATCCCTTTCCCGCGAGGCCCAAAAATTTCAAATATCCTCGGCGCGGCCCTCCCCTCACCCCAAACCCTAGCGCCCGCATCGCCGCCGCGGAGTCGGAGCACCCCGCCTGCACCCGCCGCCGGCCATGGAGGCGGTGGTGGTCGACGCGGGGTCCAAGCTGCTGAAGGCCGGCATCGCGCTGCCCGACCAGGCCCCCGGGCTGGTGAGTCGCTAGATCTCCCCCGCTCCCCGTCGATTCGCTCGAGATTTCGCGGGACCCCCCTGTTCGATGCGCGCGCGTGTGTGGTCAGGTGATGCCCTCGAAGATGAAGACGGAGGTGGAGGAGAGCGAGGTGGCCGATGGCGCGGCGGCGGTGGTGGAGGAGGTGGTGCATCCGGTGGTGCGCGGCTTCGTCAAGGACTGGGACGCCATGGAGGACCTGCTCACCTACGTCCTCTACAGGAACATCGGCTGGGAGATGGGGGACGAGGGCCAGATCCTCTTCACCGAGCCGCTCTTCACGCCCAAGGTGCGACTGCACTCACTTCAGGCTCCTTTAAATGTGGTGGTGCCTAATAGGCTTGTTGGAAATTATGTCTGGGTTCAGGGTTAGATTTTACTACTAGGTTGCAGGATTGATTGTGTCCGAGTTATGTGAGTGCTGACACACCAACTTAATCCGCTTGTTGCCTTATGTGACTCTGCATTTCCACCAGCCTAAATGACATTAGTTATTCCTTGTGGATGGGCTCAATTGCTCTGGATTATACGTCCATATAGTATACATTCCAATGAAATACTCCACATTTAACCACTGAGCTCTTGTGTAAGTCCACTTCTGACAAGGGTTATGGGATGCACAAAGTGAAAAGAAGAAATTATACATTATAAACAAAGCAGCTTGCTCTAGCCACGAAGTCCATTTTTTAACGATGGCCTAAAAAACCTTCCCTGTTACAACCTCGATATAGTAAAATCGTCTGCTACATCCTCCAGTGGTTTCACGTGTGTTTTCTGCCCATTGCCCCATCATCAAAGAGTTTAGTTCATGTTGACTTGATGGAAAGGTTTGGTTTAGAACCACAGTAAGCTCTCACTGGTCATCCTATTCCATAATTCTCCTTATGCTATCTCTCAACTGATTTATTTGATTATGTGGCGATTATGTGTCAA